GGCAATGCCTTACTTAAAGTTCACCTCGATTTACCTTTTCCCTCAAGAAGTGAAACCTTGCTTCAATATGTTTACTTCTTCCATGCAGAACTGGATTCTTCGTAGATTTATGGCTGACTTGTTGTCGATTTGCAATACAAGAGGTTTCTTCACTTCGACCTTTATTTCTTCAAGTACATATCTGATCCAAATTACTTGACATGCAGCATAGGATCCATCTATATATTTATCTTCACAAGATGATAATGCCACCACAAGTTATTTCTTCGAACACCATGATATTGGGGCACCAAATACTTGAAAGAAATATCCAGTTGTACTTCTTCGATCTTCTTTATCTCCACACCAATCAGCATCTGAAAAATAATTAACTATTGCTTTTTTGTCTTTAGAATCTCTTCGAAATAGTATTCCATAGTTTATCGGATCCTTCAAATATCTCAGGATTCTTCTTGCAGCCTTCATATGTGACACTCTTGGTTCACTCATATATATGCTTACTAATCCTATAGCGAAACCTATATTAGGTCGACTATTGCACACATACCTTAGAGATCCCACAATTTGCTTGAACAAAGTTACATCGACTTTGTCTTCCCTTACATTCTTCTCTAATTTTACATTTGGTTTGACAGGTGAGGATGCAGGATTCAAATCATCCATTTTGAATCTCTTGGGGATTTCTTTGACATACTTCCTTTGATGTAGCACCATACCTTGCTTCGACATTTGAAATTCCATACCTAAGAAATAAGACAATTTTCCCAGATCAGACATTTAAAATTCCTTCATCATCATCTCTTTGAACTTCGACAAGCTCTCCAAGATATTTTCAATTACTAGTAAGTCATCGACATATAAGCAGATGATTGTTATATCTTGTGTTACAACCTGAACATAGACACCATACTCGGATTTGCAATTGACAAATCCCAATTCGACTAAGTATGAGTCAATCTTCTTGTTCATATATTACCATAAAAAATTTATAATTGTCTAAATAAATTTATAATTTGATACATAAAATTGCGTATTATAATTTTATCTAAATCTAAAGAATGATATATACAAGATTGCATTCTTAAATAAATATTATACAAAGAATATGGTAAAATATATTTTGTGAAAATAGTATTTATAAATAAATAATATTTTATTTTTTTATGATTTATAAATTAAAATAAATATAATACAAAGTATGATAAAATATATGCATAATACATGTTGATTTCTCTAAGGAATTAAAGAAATATATATTGGTTAGTAAGATTTTATAACATAATGCGGTTTTGTTTGGTTTGGTTCGGTTTGTAAAATAGAAACCGCAAACCGAACCGAATCGCGTGGTTCTGTGAGAAAATGACCCAAACGCATCCGAACCAAATATGCTTTTTTGTGGTTTCGGTTTGGTTCGGTTTGGTTTTGCGGTTTTCTATTGGACCGGTTTGGTTTTGAACACCCCTGGTCTAAATTCCCCCATTGTTATTTTTCATTCGCATAATTTGAACCTTGTTAAATTCCAATCCCTGTGGAGATGATATATTTTTATATTAGTTTGACATTATTGGTCCACTTGTCGAGAAGTCATAAATGAGTATAACTTCTTGATCTCTTAAATCAAAGTTATAAGTTGCTTAGCCACTCTACTTGTTTCCCTTGCAGGGTCACCAACCTATTTCTTTATTGACAAGTCAACAACTTTTTCCTTACTTAATAAATCAATTATCTCAAAACATTGTTCCTTTTTATTTTCCACTTCTTTTTAATTCCTCATTTAATTTGGATTTTTCCTTGCTTTAGTCTTGGACGTTTGTTCTTTTTCAATTATCTAAAGCACGCCCAATATTATTGGACAAGTGACTTCAAGCAAGAGGTTGGGTGAATAGTAATGTTTAAAATTCGTGATTAATTTTATACTTTTCTCAATTAAGATCATGTTAATATTTTTTTGAGAGTAAATCGCAGAAAAAATAAAATAAGTAGCAAACAAAAAAGAGTAAGGGTTACAGAGATTGCACTAGAGAATTATCCAGGTTTGGACGAACGTTGGCCTAGTCTTATCCCCAAGATGTCTTCTTGATATTTTTAATATAAACTTTTGAGCTTTTACAGGTTATGTCCATAAACCTTAATACAAGTTGATCTTTAGATTTTTACAGGCTTATCTCCAATCAAATATAGCTTTTACTACATGTTAAGCTAATGAACCTTCTTAGAAATTTCTAGATTGATCTCAATAACCAAGGCAGAACTTTTTTCGGCAAAGCTCAATAAATCAAAGCAGAGATTTTATGACTGATTTATCTCATGAATAAAACTCAATCTTATCAAGAATATCGTACTCCCAAGAATTAAACAAACATCACGACCACTTAGAAAACCCTTTCTCACAAGCAAAGATTCACTCACAAGCACTAAGGCAATTTTAAGTGAAAGAAATATTTTCTAGAGATAGAGAGATGAATTCCAAAGAAAATGTAAATCGTTGGAAAGTGGCGTGAAATGAAGAGGAGGTGAGCCTCCTTTATATAGGAGTTGGAAAAAACAAAAAAGAACATAATTTATATGCTGAATTAATGAGTCAATTGATTGACAAAAAGCTCTAGTCAATTGGCCAACTCATTTTTAATCGATTAACATTCCCAAATAGGAAATATTGGATATAGAGTCTTTGCAAGTCATTAATGTGATGTCCTAATTGCTTGGCTATTCAAGTAGTTATTCTCCAGTCGATTCTTAATGCTCCAATTGATTGGCTAGCTCAGAAAAGCTTTGCCAATCCATTAACACATCTTACCAAGCAATTGGTTAGTTCAAAAATAGTTTAGAAAAGGTTTAGACAACTTTTTAATCACTTGACTTGGATTAGAAAATAATTTTCACGATAAAAACATTTGAAAATATATTTTAGGTGTGTGTATGTGAGTTGTCTTAGTACTTCTGAGTTACTTCCTTACTTTTACAAAACTTAGGTCACTCAGATAGATAGACAAACATGACCTGTCGAGCTTTCACACTTTATCTGAGGCTTCAAGATTCTTTGTTAGATTGCTTCTAATCATATAAGTACTTCAATATTTAGTATCCTTTTGTTGATGAGGCATTATATTTTTCTCTGGTTAGATCACCATCATCAAGGTTGAAAGTTATTATCACTAACTTTAATCATTATTATCATCATTAAAACATCATAGAGGATCTTTTGCGATATTGTCAACTTTATACCTGTAAGCACATAGATCCGCAAATACAAGTGCAGAATGTACAAAAGTCATGAAGTCTATCATATTCTACCTCCACAAAGAAGAAGAATCCTACTTTTCCCACTAAAACCTTGTACCTTAACTCCTTAAGTAAATCCAAATCAACTGACACTATAACATATTGTCCAAAAGCCCTATCAAAAACTGTTTATTAAAAGATAAATCAATACACATTGGAGTACTAATTCTACTTGTCATAGAAAATAGAATCTTAGGTCTCAAATATTCTTGAGATAAATCATGTATGAGAATCCATACTTCTGATGAAGTTTGGTTTATGGTTGAGGGATGAAATCTTTTTTCCATAGAAAAAGCTTTAGAATTCCTGGATTAACATTCCACTAGTTAATTGACCTAACTTTTCTGATATCCTGGGGACATAAAAAGGAGAACTCGAAAAAACCTTTGCCTAGTAATGTTATTCCTCATTTCCCAATGGAGGTTCAAAGTTCTCATAACTTGACACACAAGTTAACAACAATTAAGAGAGTGGGTCCCTTGGGTCAAATGATTCTTCAATGTAGATTGTGTTTGCAAGCTTCTAGACTAAGTTGATATTCATCCTTATGAATGGAAAGGGCTATTTTATCACCTTTGACACACGAGATCGACAACTCACTTAACGGTATTATTGTAAACGGTATTGACAACTAGGGCAAATGTTTTGGTGCTTTGTGTTTTCTTGACATGTTTGTTGACCGTGACGACCATAACAACAATTATTTCGATGAACAAAAATTAAAAGTGTGAATCTAACATAGTAGAATTAAGGAGGGAGATGATGAACAAATAGGTCAGTAGTGATTTTCTCTCTTCTTCTTTTTTCCAGAATATTTTATTCTTTTTTTCTGCAAAATATTCAATAAGTAAAATTAAGAGATATATATTTATATTCAGCATAAATAAAAATTAAAAAATGATTAAATTAAAAATATAAAAAAAATTTCATTACTATACTAAAAATTGAAAGAAGTCAAATATTACTATACTTTCTCTATCAGTTTAGAATAGAAAGAGTAACATTGTTGAATTATAAACTTTTAAAAATCTATCAATATACTTTTCAAAATGAATTATAAAAAAAAAAAAATTGTTAGATAGATAAAGCATATTAAAAAATCTAGTTGAAATTTCAATAAATATTTTAGTAAAATATCTAAATTACCTCCATTACTAATAAATTAGATTATTGGAAATATTAAAATTTAAATTAAATGAAGAATACTTTATTATTAGTGTTAAACATGTTTTTTGTCTCAGCCGATAGACAGGTTAATGTTTTTGGCGTTTGTGATGAAATTTTTGGTGACATTAAGAATGATGTATTTTCTACAATGTTTTAAAAACTAGATTGAAAATTATATTAGTGAAATTTTCAATTCAAAATTTAATTAGTTCAATCGGTGCATAAGAAAAAGAAAGAAGTGACACTTTACATTTTTTTCTTCTTCTATTTTTCTTTAAGTAAAGAGAGAACATTCAACATTTTTCAACTTATATAATTTAAAAATCACTTTCCCCTTCTCTTTATCTTGAAGCTATCAATTTTGTTTTTTTCAAAAAATATTATTTCTCTATTATTTTTATCAAAATCCAATAAACAAAAAATTAAAAATACTTTTTTTACCACTAAACAATACAAAAAAAACTATTTTCTTAGTTTATTGTTCATCATTGCCAGCTTCTCTTCTGCATCTTCAATTCTTCATACTCAAGTATCATCAGAATCTGTCTTTGATGGACAAAGAAGGTGTTGAACTTCAAACTGATGCAGTTTCAATGATCACAGATTCTTCACTTCTTCATCACCAGGTGATTTTTCAAAAAATAAACCCTTATTCTGCTTCTTTGTTTAAAAAATAAACTCAATGCTTATGACCCTTTTGTCTATATGGCTTGATTTTACTACAGATCAACGGGTTTCAATTTGGTTTCATCCACAAGGTGTAAAATAGTATAGATTCCTAATTTTTAGCATTTGGGCATAAATAAAGTTTCCATTTTTATTATCCCCCACTTTGAAAAACCAGTTTTTTTTTTGTGTCACTTTTCACATTTTAATGAACCAATGATATAGATTTCTAATTTTAAGCATCTGGGCCAAAGAAAGTTTCGTTTTTTTGTTTCCATTTTGATGTTTTTGTGTCAGTTTCTGCATTTTGATGAACCTATTTTGAATTTGATAGGTTTCAAGAAGACCTAGTCTTTCTTCTCTACAGATACCAACAAGGTCACTAGAAAGTGCATTATCTTCTTCTACTAAGACAGATGGTCCTACATTATCAAGTCCGGGTTCCACTAGAGGACTGCCACCAAGGCCACATTCTACCAAAGTCAAATCCTCTATGAGAAGTTTGATTTCTGATAGGAGCTTTAGGACAAAAACTTGTTCACAAGATTCTGAAAAGACGGTTTTGATTGTTCCTGATACTGTATCGTCGAATGGTCCTTTGGATAAGCCTTCTACTTCGAGATCACTTTCGCTTAACAAGATTTTGTTCCCTTCATCGGCAAAAGCCGCACATTCGTTACCGGTTACTCCAATTGCAAATTCAGATGCAGATAATGTAAATGGAAGACACGTCGAGGGCGATTCTGATTTGAATGTATGTTTATGTTGTTTTCATTATTGTTTCGTGATCATACTATAACAATTGTTTAGCACTTCTCACAGCGAAGAAATTTATACGTTTTTAAATGTATGGTGCATTGATGAATATCTTCTTTCTGTACAGAAAGTGAAAGTGAATAAGCATATGACTCGATCATTTTCAGTTCCGGTTAATGTCAAAGCAGCTAATTTAAGGCCTACAGATTCGAGGCGCCTGGTTCGTGTAATTTCAGCAAGACCGCATACTGCAGCTTCTGATGGCATTTCAACTCGCAGTGATACAATGCAAGAGATTGGTAAATCTTCATGATATATGGAACTTAAACCACTTTATCTATGTATCCCTTTTAAGTCTTCATGGTGATTCAATGCAAGAGATTGGTAAATTTTCATGATATATAAAACTTAAACCACTTTATCTATGTATCCCTTTTAAGTCTTCATGATAACCTTTGTATGATAAAAATAAATTAACTAACTGAGTATGGTAACTTTTTGCGTTATGTCACGCCGTTTCCTTTCCAGTCATTGAAGATGCTTCTGAGGATATTCCAGAAGAAGAAGCGGTTTGTAGAATTTGTTTGGTGGAGCTTACGGAAGGGGGAGATACTCTTAGGATGGACTGCAGTTGTAAAGGCGAGCTTGCACTTGCTCACCAAGACTGTGCAGTAAAATGGTTTAGTATCAAAGGAAATAAGACCTGTGATGTATGCAAGCAGGATGTCCGGAACCTTCCAGTAACACTCTTGAAAATTTCTAGTCCTCCAACTGTTGTTCGACATCCATTGAATGCTTCGCAGCAGAGAGAAGTAGCTAATTACAGGTAAATCTATGACAAAATCTGAATTACATCACACAATTTTCGCGAAACAATGTTTGTTAGGTCTATAAATCTAGCTTTCTAAGTATAGTAATCTACAGGATCTGGCAGGATGTACCGGTACTTGTCTTGGTCAGCACACTTGCATACTTTTGCTTTCTTGAGGAACTATTGGTATGCTACCGATCTTACAATACTTTGTTCGATCGTTTTACTTTTGAATACAGAACAATTGAAATTTGCAGTCGTTTTACTTATAGTATGTAACATTGTTAATTATTGTATGGTTTTTGTTTTGTTTTCTTTAAAATATTTTGTACAAAATGGAAGTATTTCTGACTCAATGAGTTTTAGTGTACCAGGTTTCGGATTTGGGTCCGCGTGCTCTTGCCATTTCTTTGCCTTTCTCATGCATTTTAGGTCTCCTTTCATCTCTAATTGCTTCAAGCATGGGTAAACTTACTTCCTTCATTTTTGCCTTAGCATGTCTAAATAATTTCCTGTTACCGTAATCACTTGTTAGCCGAAAATGATTAATATGTTAAACAAATTTTAAATCACATCTGTTTTTTCGGTGGCAGTGAGCAGGAGTTACATATGGGCTTATGCATGCTTCCAGTTTGCATTTGTCATCCTGTTTGCTCATGTATTCTATTCAATAGTAAGATTTACGAGTTTCTTGTTGCGCTTGTCATTCATGTTAACACGCACATTTGATATATTTCTTTATACTTGTAGCTTAATGTTACTGCAATATTCTCGGTTCTTCTTTCAACATTCACTGGATTTGGGATTTCGATCAGCGTGAATTCCCTCTTGATGGAATATATTAGATGGAAAACAAGTAGACAGATTCAATCTTCTAATCAAAATATTATTTTGAGACAGCAGCAGCAGCACCAATGACAGTAGTTGAGACCTGTTTTTCACAATGAAGGAGAATTTAGCTGTTTCTTTTTATTTATTTTACTCAATTTTCTATGATACAATGATTGACATTCTTCTAAGGTTGGATCAAAATATTCAAATCCACCATGAGCAGCAGTATGTAAACTGCTGACATAGTATAGGAATGTTTTATTAGTAAGGTTTTCAATTTGCTTATAATATATGGCTCTCATTTTTAATCATTAAAGTTTGTTTCAAGGTTGTATAGTATAATAATAATTCAAAGATAACTGACTTATCCTTGGAATGATAGAATCCATTGAATTGTTTATGTTTGAGCATCTAGCAGACTAGCACGTTCAATGTATGTTTTTATTATAATCAAATTTAATAATTCACTCATATAATTTTGTTTTACATCGTTAACTCTTCTCATTTCAATTGTCAGCTAGCATTATTGAAGTGTATTATGACAGTAACATAACAACTTTTTTAAATATAAGTTTATTTAAATAAATAAAACAAACAAACAAGATTAAGAGGTGATTTTGGTAAAGTTAACTCTAAATCACGGATCTGGGTTCTCTCCAGCACTTTCTGCCTATCCAGCTCCATTTTAACCATTCATCTATTTTTGTATCTCTTTTCAAGACAAACAAAAAAAATCATTTATTTATCTTGTACTAATACTGAGCCATTAGATTCCTAAATCGCTAAACCTTTTTTTTTTTTTATATTCCTTCTCATTAACATTAAATAAAGTTAAAGGCTGTTAAAAATTGCTTAGATTAAGACCAAGAAATAAATATATTTTGCGTATAATTGAGACCAAATAGAGTAAATGACTAATAAAATGGTCTAAACATTTTATTTATCTCTACCATTGCATTAGAAATGAATTCTAATCAGCTAAAAAAAAGTGATTATAGGCTATGACTTAACAATATAATAAGGTCACAGTTGAAACTAAACGCCTTAAGTCACTGAACATGTTAAATTGATACCCTTTTAAAAAATGAATTTGTACTATTTTCTACCTGGAAATCAAAATATTACAAATTAAATTTGAGAAAAGGGTTTGAGCATAATACTTCATTTTCAGAACAAAATTTGTTAATCTTTTTCCCTGCAAAAGAGATAGATCTAATAATATGCACTAATAGCAATCTTACAGGTCTAATGCTAATTTAGAACATTCATATTTTAAAAAAATGCTAATTTAAAATTTCAAAATAAAATAAGGAGCTCTTCGTGGAGTTGCGCAACTACGAGAAACCGACAATATAATTCAATCACTATATTCAAAAACATCCATTGCAAAACAAGAGGGATTAATTAAGATCAGCTAATCATTTGTCAGACAATACAAGGAATTCTATGAGCACAAAATTGTGGAAGTTCAAATATTGATACTTGATTCAACTGTGCTGCTGTATTTCAAATCTGTGAATATGAAAGTAAATTCCAAATAGTGCCTGGAATCTCTTGGAGATGCAGGAGATTTGCTTGAAATTGTCATGACAGGTCTACTTTTTAGTCTTTGGTTTAGTTGCAACTTCAATAAGTCTGAACATCCATCGGTCCAGCATACCTGTTCATGTAAATGTGTTGGTTTTACACAGAATTTGAGTGCAAGAAACAAAATAAACTGAGGCAGTAGAACTTTAAGCCATAAGGATTCCATAAAATCAACATTTAAGAACCAATCAGGTGTCCAGTTGAACCGATACAAACCCAGTGATAAGAACCAGCCATTTTCTTTTTTATTAAAAAAAAATTTTCTGATCATTATTTTAAAATAAAAATATTTTTTTTCACCCAAATTAAGGTCCAATAAGAAGTTGTAAATATTCACATTGGTGAATCTTCTTATTAATTATTTTATTCATGACAAATAAAACTCAATAATCATGGTACATATTGAGTAGTTAAAGGAAAAAATACCTGTTACAGCGAAGGTTCCACCTAGCACGGCACAAAGCCGAGTAATAAAATGAAGAAAACTGCGACGTTCTTCCTTGATAGTGACAGTAATAGGCGATAGATCATACAAAAAGTAGACAGCTGCATACACAACCAATAGGAATTTATTAATATTTGAAAACTGAAACCAAAACTCAGAAATGTACAATGCTAACTTCAAACTAAATCCAACCTGGCCATGTCCGATCAAATTGACTAGTAATGGGGGAAAAATATTCTGTAACTGAGAACTGATTAGTAGGTAGAACTTCTTTTGAAATATACCTATATTCAGTTGGAACAATCTGCATCATGATTTAAAAATTGCATTATGACTCAGGCAAGGTTTAAAGAATATTCAATAAAGAGCTCAATATTCAAACCTTTATATAGTATTTAAAAGTTCCACTCGCATCATGCAAAATCCTTGATGTCTCATCAAGTGGGTTATGAATTCCTGGATATTTGGGGCCAAATGACAAATCATGGATAACGTGACTAACGTTCACATTCTTTGATCCATCAAAGATCTGGAGAAATCAATCACTGTTGAATTAGGTATCTGACATACAACAAATCTTGACAAGCATTGTTGTAAGAAAATTTAAGACAGAAAAGTCTGATACAAGCTTCAGAATGTCACATTGCATTGCAATAAACTTCTCAGCAAATTCCTAATAAAGTAATTTCTTTGGCAGTAAATTCAATCTTTTTAGTAAGTTATCCACTAGTAAAATTCACATAATTTATTTACGTATTTGCAAAAAAAATTAACAGAATAAACTACTAAAAAGAAGTCAGAGTAGTGTTCTAGTTTTATGTGATGTTAAATTCTATGCAAGATACCTTCACCTTTAAGCTTTACAGAAAAAAAAACGTAAAGGAATTATAATATTCATATAGGATTTTTAATGAAGAAAGAAAAATATCTTGCCATTTGTGCAACATATATGTTTAGTCCGTGAACTGAAATATGGAAATTTCCAGCAACCCTTTGAACATCTAAAACGCCATAAACCTGCAATAGAATTAAACTAAATATTAAGTTTATTTCAAAATGGACAAAAAACACCACAAGCAATTCATGATAGTAACTTCAGAGTTTATACCCGGCATCCTTCCCCATTTTTTAATGCCTCCTTCACCTTCTTGATAGTATTTTCAGTGGCTTCATCAAAGGATTGCAGGTGAACTTTTTCTTCTGAATGTTCATGGTGATCTTTACCATCAGCTGTTTGCAGTTTTTGAAAGGATGTAAGTAACAAGAAATTAACTATTAAAGAATGTAAGTCTAAGACAAATGGCGAGCTCTACACTTGTCATAATATGAACATGCTACACAGTCGTGTGTTTTAACAGTTAAAGTCACACCAGTTGATCTTTAGTATACTTAGAAAAGTATGATTTATGGCACTCAATATGATGGGGAATCTTGGGTTCTTTATACGAAATGATGGGGAGTAAAGAGAAATGTAAATAATAGGATTCAAGAAGGGTGGATGAAATTGGTGAATCTTGAGTACCAAGATACATCCTCTCTCAATTTCATCTCCCCTCCCAACTTTGAGAGGGATTAGGAGGGAAAAGAAAAGGGGTACAATAAAATCCAATACCACCACCGTTGGGCACCCTCTATCTTTCTGCCATCACCACCCTCGACTACCAAGAACCCTCCAACATATGCCCCCACTGCTTGACACCCTCCACTGCTGCCACCAACCGACACTCACTGTCTGTTAGGCACCCAGACACCTTCAGTCATCACCGTCTGTCTGGCACCGTCCACCATTTCTACTGTCACCCAGCCATTGACACAATGCTTCACTCCATTATTGTCACTTCCCGGCATCTTAACACCACCATGGTCTGGCATCCTCAACCCCCGCCACAGTTTGGCAGAACTATTGAAAGAAATTTATTATTATATGGGTATAATTGCAAATTAATTTTGTTTTTCTCACTTGTCCACGAGCAAACAAACCAGGACAGGGTTATTTATTTCTCTCTCTTCCTTGTAATATTATATACAAAAAATGTTGGATGGGGAGTGAGATAAATGCTACAGCCATAGTTTATTCCACAAACAGAAATTTATGAAGCAAAATGGGCCAACATGTGGCTTAACAAGAAATGGTTTTTGTCAAGAACTAAGCCAAAGGTCTAAGTTATAGGGTGAAGGTACATGAGTGGTTTTTGTACATTAAAATAGGCCTCTTACTAAGAGCGATTTGGGGATTAAGAGTGAAGAGTGCATAATGCTTGGCCAACCTAGTGTTAAGTTTAATTTTTATTCAAGAGAAAATAACAACAAAGCCCAAATTTTATTCCAAATGATCATAGAGGCTCTAATGCTATGCCAAGAAGCTACTCTCCAGAAAGCTTAAGCTAAGGTATACAGATACAACAACAACCAAGCCTTATCCCACTAAGTGGGGTCGGCTAAATATTTTTTTTGGGCTAAAGGCCCATACCTTTGCAATATCTTAAGCTAAGGTGTACAGATATATTTTTTAATTTAGTAATAGTTTCTAATAACATATAGCATTTGTGTATTTTCTATTAATATTGCTAACTTTGGAATAACATTAAGACCCTCACCATCTCATGCAGCTTTTCACTGAGATCTTCAATTCAACATTTAGGAAATAATTATTTAAAAACAAACATGAAAGAGTTTGTAGTAGGAGAGAATCCCTTAATTATCCCCAAAAAATGGAAATGAATCTACCAGTCAACAAATGAAAAGAATCCAATCAAATGCAGTTCGTGCAATTTCAACCTATTGTTTTGAAATTATATGCATGATGTAACAAGAGATTACCATGATTGTGAGCGGCATGTTCCTTTTCAACAAGATCAGATATATATTCGGTGCCAATTATCTGGCCATAACTGTTCAAACGAAGCTGCAATAAATCAAAACAAATTAGGGGTAAATAACCATAAATGATACGAGAGCACACAACTACGTGACTTTAAAACAACAACTAACAACCACTGCAATATTTAACAAGTTCCTACTTATCCCTATATGTTGAATGTAAACAAATAAATAG